CATGAACTACCTATGATGTTGATCGTACCTTTCTCACGAGGCAGGAGAAGACCATGAACTACCTACGATGTTGATCGTACCTTTCTCATGAGGCAGGAGAAGAGCATGAACTACCTATGATGTTGAACATACCTTTCTCATGGGGCAGGTGAATAAATGAACTACCTATGATGTTGATCATACCTTTCTCACGAGGCAGGAGAAGACCATGAACTACCTACGATGTTGATCATACCTTTCTCACGAGGCAGGAGAAGACCATGAACTACCGCTCTTCTCCTGCCTCATGAGAAAGGTACGATCAACATCGTAGGTAGTTCATGGTCTTCTCCTGCCTCGTGAGAAAGGTACGATCAACATCATAGGTAGTTCATGCTATTCTCCTGCCCCGTGAGAAAGGTACGATCAACATCGTAGGTAGTTCATGCTATTCTCCTGCCCCGTGAGAAAGGTATGTTCAACATCGTAGGTAGTTCATGTTCTTCTCCTGCTTCGTGAGAAAGGTACGATGAACATCGTAGGTAGTTCATGTTCTTCTCCTGCCCTGTGAGAAAGGTACAATGGACAGCGTATTTAGTTCATGGTCTTCGAACATTATATAACCCTTTACTTGTTGCAGAAGCATGTCTAAGGCTTCAAGAAATAACATGGGTAGATTCGTCATTTGCTTGATGTTATTAACTTAAAATTATTATATTATTACGTTATATTATTATTAATATTATTTTTATTTTTATTTTTATTATTAACTTATGTTATTAGCGAATCGCCCATTCTTGTTTGTCGTTCTTGCAGGTTAACAAGTTCAACAAGTGTGAGAGTAGGGCCATCTGCGTTACAGACATGTACGTCTACAAGCTGGACCCGAAAAAGAGCTTCAAGCTCATGAAACATGGCATTCCCATACAAGAGGTGAGAACAGAGTGGGTCTTCATTATATGAAGATTTCAAACTCACTCATCGTGGATTCATGAAAGCATCGTTGTTTCGATAAATTCTGGCATCCTACAGAATTTTGTTCCTTTCCTTGCATCCTACATTGCGCTTACGCAGTGGTGGGTTCTTGGTACGGTTTTAATATCGATTGAAATCTTTGTAGAGATATAATCTGTATTATCTGTTAGAATAACAGATTTATATCTTATCTATCTCTATCTATATCTTTATCATATCTTTATTATCTGTTAGAAGGTTATCTCATCCGCGTCATGGCACTGATTGCCCCATTATTGGGGGCGCGTGCATGCACGCGTGGTCTCCACATCTTGCTACGTACGTTCGCTTGTTTTTAGATCACTAGCGTTAGCGCGGGCATGTCCGCGTGGTCTCCGCATCTCGCTACGTACGTTCGCTTGTTTTCAGATCACGGGCGTCAGCGTGACGCCGGGCACGGACTCTCTCGTCGCCATCCACCTTCAGGGCGGAAACGACCTTGTAGTCTGCCTGACAGGGGTCAGCACCAGCAGCGGACAGAGCCGAGCGCCGGAGGTCGTTGGCGCGCTCGCTCAGCAGTGGTTCAAGTAGGTATCAAGTAGGGTCTGCGTGTGTGCGGGAATTGCTCCGCCTCTGCATGTGTGCGGGAATTGTTCTGCCTCTGCGTGTGTGCGGGAATTGCTCTGCCTGAACAATTCTCACACACACGCAGGAGGCAAATTCTCACACACACGCAGCTCTGCCTCTGCGTGTGTGTGAGAATTGCTCTGCCTCTGCGTGTGTGTGAGAATTGCTCTGCCTCTGTGTGTGTGAGAATTGTTCTGCTTCTGCGTGTGTGTGAGAATTGTTCTGGCCTGCTGTGTGTGTGTGGGCGAATTGCTCTGGCCGCTGTCGTGTGTGTGAGAATTGTTCTGCACTCTGCGGTGTGAGAATTGCTACTGGCTCTGCGTGTGTGTGAGAATGTTCTGCTCTGCGTGTGTGTGTGAGAATTGTTCTGCCTCCGCGGTGTGTTGTGTGAGATTGCTCTGGGCCTCTGCGTGTGTGTGAGATTGCTCTGGCCTCTGCGTGTGTGTGAGAATTGCTCTGCCTCTGCGTGTGTGTGAGAATTGTTCTGCCTTCTGCGTGTGTGGTGCGAATTGCTCTGCCTCTGCGTGTGTGTGAGAATTGCCTCTGCTCTGCGTGTGTGTGAGAATTGCCTCTGGGCCTGCTGCGTGTGTTGTGTGAGAATTGCTCTGGCCTCTTGTTGTGTGTGTGAGAAATTGTTTCTGGGCCTCTGCGGTGTGTGTGAGAATTGTTCTGGCCTCTGCGTGTGTGTAGAATTTCTGCTGCCTCTGCGTGTGCTGTGAGAATTGGCTCTGGCCTCTGCGTGTGTGTGAGAATTGTTCTGCGTCTGAGTGTGTGTGAGAATGTCTGGCCCTGCGTGTGTGTGAGAAATTGTTCGGCTTCATGGCGTGTGTGTGGAGAATTGCTCTGCCTCTGTGTGGTGGTAGAATTGTTCTGCCTCGTGACGTGGTGTGTGAGAATTGTTCTGGCTCTGCGTGTGTGTGAGAATTCTCTGGGCCTCGTGCGTGTGTGTGAGAATTGCTCTGGCCTCTGCGTGTGTGTGAGAATTGTTACTGCCTCTGCGTGTGTGTGAGAATTGTTGCGCCTCTGCGTGTGTGTGAGAATTGTTCTGCTTCTGCGTGTGTGTGAGAATTGGCTTCTGGCCTCTGCGTGTGTGTGGAATTGTTCTGCCTCTGTGTGTGTGAGAATTGCTCTGCTCTGCGTGTGTGTGAGAATGTTCTGCCTCTGCGTGTGGTGAGAATTGCTCTGCCTCTGCGTGTGTGTAAGAATTGTTTCTGCCTGATTCTGCGTGTGTGTGAGAATTGTTCTGCCTGCTGCGTGTGTGTGAAGAATTGCTCTGGCCTCTGCGTGTGTGTGAGAATTGCTCTGTCTCTGCGTGTGTTGAGAATTGTTCTGCTTCTGCGGGTGTGTGAGAATTGCTCTGCCTCTGTGTGTGTGTGAGAATTGTTCTGGAGCCTCTGGCGTGTGTGGAAAATTGTTCTGCCTCTGCGTGTGTGTGAGAATTGCTCTGCCGTTGCGTGTGTGTGAGAATTGCTCTGCCGCTGCGTGTATGCGAGAATTGCTCTGCCTCTGCGTGTGTGTGTGAATTGTTCTGCCTCTGCGTGTGTGTGAGAATTGCTCTGCCGCTGCGTGTGTGTGAGAATTGTTCTGCCTCTGCGTGTGTGCGAGAACCTGTCCCCACCTCCTCCGCGACACGACGCTCACGTGACGCGCTTCTCCTTCTCAGGAAGACGAGACGGCCGCTGAAGGTGCTCGTCAACAACATGGTGCACTGCATGCTGGGTAACAAGTCGCGAGCGATCGGCGTGCAGCTCGCCAACGTTGCCGAGCCGATCTTCAAGAAGGACGGCGACGACCTCGTGCTGCAGACTCCCAATTAGTGTCACCGTGGCAACCGTTGCGCTCGACGACGGCGATCGCCACGAGGACCACGCTCGACGACGACAATCGCCGCGTCAACCGCGCTTGACGATGCCGATCGCCGTGGCAACCGCGCTCGACAACGGCGTTCGCCGCGGCAGCCGCGCTCGACGACGACGACGGTCGCCGCGGCAACCGGCATTCTCGATGTGTCTATTACCTACAAACTCGTGTCGTGGATGCTAGAGAAACGTATTCTCGCCTTCTCCATTCCCGTTGATACGTAACTGCTCTGTGTGGGTGTGAGTCGGCTGTATTCTACTTTGCCATTTGGGCAAGCACGGATTGCAGGTTAGCCGCAGTTATACAGAATGCGTGGTGGAGGGGGGGGGGTGGAGGAGGAGGTGATATGTGCGTGGCAGTCCCATCCATGTATGGTTATCAGTTTCATGTTGATTTTCGTAGCTGGAATTGCACAGAACTGAGAATGAGGGTCGCGTGTGAGAATCGGTTTTGTTGCGAGTAATGTCTCGCGGTAAGCATGCCGTATCTAGCAGTGCAATATCCCAAGTCTTCCGCTAGGTGTCAGCACCGAGTGTGGTGAGGCTAGGGCATGGTGTAGCTATCTCTCTTAGTATCTACGACAGCCCGTGCTAGTCCTGAAGATTGATTTTAACGTGATAGATAGATGTCAAGATATGTGCTCCAGAGATTGTGTACATTGATTTTTCACGATTCAGCAGTATAGTGTGTTATCGAATTGAAAACGCCCTCTTTTAGCTATACATGTTAAACCTGTCTCAGTGTTGTCCTTCCCTTACTAATACTGGACATACTGATAGATCTTTTGTAGAGAGTATACCCTAGTGGGATGGTTAGGTGGACAGGCAAGTGGGCGATAAGTGTCTGACACATGTGAAACTATGTTTGAAAAGTGTAGCACTGTAAAGTATTGTAAATTCACATTGCCAGACGATTGTGTTGTCGTGATGGTTCTTTAAACGTTCTCTTACGTTATTTTGCTTCACTGTCGCTGTTTCATTAGACAATATTTTAGATATATACATGAAGGTAGAATCATAGAAGCGTATGCCCAGGGATCACCTGTTATGCAGCTTGTTGTGATACCGATGCTGGAACCATAAATGTTCGAGGTCATATACGTTTGTTGTCTGTAGAAAATCATGCTTTGTCTCGTCAAAATTGGTTGAGATCTATTTTTTTAAAGTAGCTTGACAAATTCTGAGCTTATAATTATTATATACACAGACAAGCTGTCTTTTTAGGTGTATCAGCTCTCTTGCTTGCCGCATTGATTCTCGGGGCTTATTAAGTCGAGCATATTTTAGAATCATCCGGGCTTATTAAGTCGAGCATATTTTAGAATCATGCAAAAAATATTTAAATTTTGTATAAATCTGATCTTGTCGAATATTTATGCTTTTTGTGTAAACATGTGATTTTTCTGCTCTACAAATGAGGAATTTGCAGTGGTGCTGCACATGTCACCATTCACAGGTGGATCAGCTAAATATATGTTTTTGATTAGCTTTTTGATTTAAGAAATTATAAGTATAAATTAAGTCAAATATTATATTTTACATTTTTATGAGCGCTTACCCTATATTGTAAAAGCAGGATTGCTTATTTTATGGCGTGTTATTTTTAAATTGTCTCTTGGTAATATATATATTTAATCGCTTAACTGGCATTTCAATTTTCAAAGTTAGGCATGGTGATGGCCAAGCCCATTCTGTTTTTGAAAGATCTCATTTCCTACAGTTCTTGTCAATAGAACTTTGTGATCACACGGTTGTCAAACTTCGTGGCAGCAATAGTTTAATTCTTTACTAACTGCAACTGTTGTGATACTACTTCAAACATGCTACCTACGCTTTACCATCGTGATTGTTCTGCTGTTATATAGCGCCCCTATACGTCAAAATCTGTTTGTGTATTTTATATCACGCTGCAACTAATGATTCGTGGCCATTGCACTACGTAAGTTTTTGAACTACTTTAAACCAATCTAAGTAACGTTGATCGTTTACTAACTATAATTCATAGCCATCCTAGAAATACATGTCATGACAAGAAATGTGTTGTTTCTCTCATTTTTCATTTATTAGATTGATATGTTCAGAAATAAACAAACAGATATAAAATGGCGGTCTAGATCGCGTTGCGTAGGTAGGCTGTTTGCTGTGGTGATATATCAGGAGTGTTTAATATAGTGTCGATATTATACACTCCTGGTGATATAGCAGCGTTGCGTTTTACTCGCATCATTTACTCGGGTTTTGAGTGTGCGTGCGCTGTAATCTGTTCTCTGTGGCATTCTAAGACCCGTCCCTACGTGTTCTTCATTGGTGTATGCACGCAGAAACTACTGAAATATTGTGGCCACGATTCGTGACGTACACCAATTGGCTATAATATCAAGAATATTTGGGCTATTCCGATTGTGGGTATACAAGAGGTTTCTAGCGTTAATCTGTAAGTGGCGCTTAGACACCTTCGAGTCTTATGTACTGTTTCTGATAAGATCTCCTTTAATCTTCATGTGATGATTTATTGTCATTTAGATTGATAGCGGGGCTTGGTAGGCCTACTTGGGTACGGGGCGGATGGATGTATGTTGCTAAAGATCCGATGTTAGTACCTATGTCGCAATTTTGTCGTTGTTTATCGAAGATTCCGCGTTTTAAAATGTCTTCAGTCATTATTATCATGATTGGAAAGTGTGTGCAAAACATGCTATGTAATTTGTGATCGTTTCAGACTGTACTTTAAGGGAGCACTTTCGCTCCATCAGTAATTAAACACTGCCACCATTTAACATCCAATCAATCACGTGTGCATATCAAGTCATCTCTGTAACAGTATACAATGTCGGAGTCATCTCGCGAAT